GGCACAGATCTAAGGGAGATGGATTAGGAGCTGGAACTTTCCTCACAGTGTCTGTACGTCCCCCCAGCTCCACGCAGGTGAAGGTATGTGGAGCCAGCACGTCCACCCTCACCCAGTAACTCGGAGGTGTCCCTTCTAACCCCATCCCTCAGGGTCACAGTCAGGACCGTGTGGTAACAGAGCTACTCCCACTGCAGCGTCAGTGGGGACCCTGCAGAGATGCAACTTCCACTCTCACCCACAGCAGCAAGGGCCCCAAACCCCACTTTGAGTCAACAGAGGCCGAGTAGAGAACCTAGACTTCTACCTCAGCCTGAGCTCACTTCCTCTGCCTGAGCAGTGTCAGAAAAGCTGGCTAAAGCGGAGGTTGATAGACCCAGGGTGCCATAGTATCATGCAAAGTCACCCAGGTTTCAAGTGAGAAATCGTTCACTACACCAAAAACCAGAAATCCCTCAAACAAAAATTGTAACACTCTGACCTGCTTCTAAATGTAAGTAGAAAAAGAATATTTAAAACAATTATAATTTAAGAGAGAATAGAGGGACAAAAAAAGGTAACACTTCTAAGCTTCCTTCAATCTGGTAAAATGACACTGCCAGTAGACTGATAAATCATGTATGTTGAGCCAGGCATGGTGGCACATGCCTGTAATTCCACCACTCGAGAGACTGATACAAGAGGATCGTTGTGAGTTTGAGACCAGCCTGGGCTACAAAGTGGGCTCAAGACCAGTCTAAACTGCATAGTGAGGTCCTATCTCAAAAAAGACCCCCAAAATTATGTATAATGGGATACCTAGAGCAACACAAAACGACACACTCTTGCAGTCTGAGAGCTGGGTCAGAAGAATCTCAAATTTGAGCCTGACCTAGACAACTTATCAAAACCTTGTTTCAAAATAAAAAGTGAAAAATGGACTGGGGATATAGCTCAGTGCAAAGGTCCTGGATTCAATTTCCAGTAACAAATAAATCAATCACATATTGATATAATGTATTAACAAACATAATCTTACCAAATGCTGTCTATAACAAACCAAATTCAAGTGTAGAACTGTAAGTAAGCTGAAAGTAAAAGAATAAAAAAGATACTCTAGGCAACTACTACTCAAAAAAAGGCTATGTTAATGTCAGATAAAGTTGGACTGCAGATCAAAGGCCCTGTGTTCAGTCTCTAATACCGAATAAATGAATGAATGATGACACAGATGGACAAAATGGACACAGAGAGGGGCACTGTATATTTAAGGTAATTGATGCATTACACTTTTAAGGATAACTTCATTAGGAAAACAGCAATCCTGAAAGATGTGGTGGCACATGTCTGTAATTCAATTAATTGGGAGGCTGAGACAAGAAGATCACAAATTCAGGTCCAGCCTGGGCAACTAAAGTAAGACTGCTTCAAAATTTTAAAGCACTGGCATAGCTCGGCAGCAGTACACTTGCCTACCTGTGAAGGCCCTGGGCTCAATTCACAGCATCACAAGGAAAGAAACAACAATCTTAAATGTGTTTTTACCAAACAACAAACCTGAAAAATACATGAATCAAACTCAAAAACTGAGAGGTACAAAGAAACACCTACGTTTAGAGATTTAAACCTCAACCTCTTTCTGTCAATGGTTCATTGAGTAATTCAACAGAAAATCAGAAAATATATTGAAAAATTCAACAATATTCTCAGCCACCAAATCAAACTAACATTTATAGAAACTCCATCCACCAAGATCAGGGAAATGGCAACTGTAGCCAGGTTTGTTCAAGCAAGTGAGTTCCTCATGACCTGGCAGAGAAGGCTACTCCCAGTGTGAAGGAGACACATGCCTCCCTGGGACACAGCTCTGGACCTCCTTGTAGCCGCTGAGGACATGGGAGGCATGCCTGGAATGTTGCATTCCTCCCACCACATCCAGCTCTGGAGATGCAGTTTCACTGGGAGAGAAGGAAATGGCCCTGGGAGGCTTTGATACGGTGCAGAATCCTAACCCCAGTAGTCTAAGCACCCCACAGGGTTTACAAGTGGAGATTATCTGTGGGTCTCCCTTGAGAGAGACAGGTCAGCCAAGAGCAGGGACAGATTTTGGAGGTTATGCTGCAAGGCAGGGACACAGGGAGAAGCTCTGCACACATCTCTGGGTGATCTATGCCCTTCTGTGCTGTGTTCCCCCACAGCGATGATCAGTGAGCCAGGGAAAGAGCTCATACTCTGCAAGGCTCTAGAAAGAGTGCTCAGGACCCACTGGAGGCAGGCAGCACAGGCAACTGCCACTGTGACTCTAGCCAGCCAGCTCTACTGCAATCAGTTTATACCTCCAGCCTCAGCTCACTCGAAGTCCTGTGGGTGCTGGAAAAGGCTCTGGGAAAGGCAGGTGGCTGTGAAGGGATGCAGTGTCCAGGGAGCCTCACGAAGACCCTCTGCAGACCCAGAAATGTGATTGTCCAGACCTCTACAGCTGATACCACGACTCAGGTGTCTTCTTGCTGCCCACTGCAGCCCTGTCTCTGGGCCAGCCTCTCGATGCCACCAAGCCACTCATGAATGAAGCCAACCAGAAGATCACCATTCTGTTCTTACAGCCACATGCCTGCCACTGCCAAGCATTCTGGGAAGACTCTGGTTCCTCCAAAACTTCACACACAGAAACCTGGGTTCCCAACAGTAATGCCTGCCCTATTTGATAACAGGTCCTCTGTTCCTACAATCTACTGCTTAGGATATATCACTGCAAAGCTTTCATTCTGTACTGGCTTTCTGAAGAACCGAATCTGCTTTCAAACAGTGGCTTTGCAAAGATTCCAACTACTGGTCACAAAAATTGCTCATGAGGTCTTAAGTTTTGCAGTTTCTCCTCCCTGGAGGAACATTCGACAAGTCACCTTGTCAAGTCCCAAGAAGCCCAGAGCTGGCAGTGGCTTTCCTTTATGAATCCTTCACTTAAGTAACAACAAAAGCATTTTCGCAAAGCATTTATATCACAGACAGCCAGTTTTGCATCTGCATTTACTGGCTGCTTCAGATCTGTCCCCAAAGGGAACCTGGTGTCAGAGACTAATGCCCCACAGGTCAGATTTCTAGGCCATCCCTGAGGGCTGCACAACCCTGGCTCTGGAGATGTCCTTGCTCAGAAGCCAGCACACATTCTCAAGGGGACCTGATCCTCCACAGACGTGTGGCCTAACTGAAGTTCAGGGCACATCTCCATGGACAGAGGTTCCCCAGGGTCCAGAGCCAGGTACAAAGTGGGTCATAGCACAAGAAGCCTCTGTCTCTAAAGATGCAATCTGAAGGTAAACTGAAACACAATGCCAAGAGCTGCAGAAAGCATCCCTAAGTGGGAGGAAAGTCACAAAGTCACACAAGTCTTTAAAGGCCCAGGATACAGTGGCCCAGGAGAAGTAGTGGGCATCTTGCATCGGGTGATGCAGGTTTGGTAAGGTCTGACACTCCTACTGTTTTGCTTTAATAAGAAACAAGTAGAAAATTACAAATATGTAACCACTAGGTCCCCTCCCAAGTGAGGGGCTGTGGTGTTTGAACTTCAGTAACGCCCCTGCCTCCTTTCCAGCAGCCTCTGGTGCCAGATTCTAAAGCAAAGTCAGGAAAACCACGGGAAAAGCAGGTAAAGCAGGGAGACGATGTAAGTGGGAAGTAGTGATTCATTCCTTCCCAGTAACTTCGTCACCCCAAGAAGTCCCTGTGAACTCCCAACCTTATCTACCTCGGGGTTTTCAGGAAGTCTTCTTCCTCTGCAGTCATCCTCCCTGTGGCTAATGCAGAGGACACTAGTGATCAGAGCCACCTGCACAAGGATCACCTTTTTCCTTAATCACAGAATGCAGAGCACAAACTGTCCAAATAAGACAGACTTTGGTTTTTAAAAAGCCAAGAGAAATGCAGAAAAACCCTACGGAACAGCACATGTCCTGTGTCCTGCATAATCAGATCCGTTTTTCTGGGAAGTGTGACCTGCCTTTTTCTTTTCTGTTCAGTTCTCACTCTGTCACACAAGCACTTTGGGGAACCACCCAAGCTAGACAACCAGAGAGCTGGGCACCTGCTGTTCATCTCCTGCTCTCAGGAGTCCCATTCCTGATGAAAAACAAGCTCAAGTCACAGCATAGAGGGAGGGAGTGGTGAGCACAGGTTGACATGGGTGGAGGGACACTTGCGTTCCAACAGGACAATGTGGAACTCATTATCATTCCAGTAGCAGGAAAGGGGATCGGCAAACTCACACACCGTGCTTTATGTCCCTCTTCCCTAAACCCTAACTTTGCATTTACAATCAAAAGCGAGTTCTGCTTGCAAACATAATTCAATCAGGTGTCATCCTGCCTGCTGGTGTCTGGAGGGGGAACAGACTCTTCCTAGTCGGGTTGAAAAGACTGGCTCCTCTTGCATTAGAGGTGGCTCCAGTAATCAAATACTTTTTTGGCAATTCAGATTAACCGAACACTTGATGGGCTGGGCAGGCAGCTCTGCAGCCCACCAATGCCCTACCCACTGGCTCCCCAAGGACACAAACAAGTCCGCCCCACGGGCAAAGCTCGGTTCAGCATCGGTCTCCTGATACGCAGTTACGGGAAACGTGTCGCGGGGCAGGCGGGAGGCGGGAGAGCGTGGGACGTTGCACGCACGGAGGCACCTTAGACGTACCCAAGGAAACCCGAAGTCCGGGAGTCCCCTGAGCTGGAGGCGGACCCGGGATTGAGCCTAAGAGACGTGCGAGCTGGTTCACCCCGGACCTTTGGGCTTCGGGGGCCGCTCTTGGGGCCCGAGAGTCGGCCGGTTTCCATAGCAACCGAGCAAGCCTGACCCCCTGCCCTACCAGAGTTCACCGCGCGGGAAAACGCTCCGCGCGGTCCCGCGGCCCTGAGTGCGCGCTCCGCCGCTCCCCACCCGCAGCCTCCGCGCCTGGGACCCCGCAGCAGCCAAGCAGGCCCGTCCGCGTGACTCTCACATCCGCCGCCCTTCGTCGCGCGTACCGCACTCACCTCCAGCACAGCCAGCCGCAGCCGGCCGCAGCCTGCGGGCTCAGTCGCCGCGTTCCCACGCCTGCCGTTAGCCCGGGCCGGAGCCAGTGATCCGCGCGCGCCGCGGCGCCTCCTGCTGGCCGCTTAACGGCAGGGGCGGGGCCTCTATGGGGCGGGGTCTCGTAGAAGGCGGGTCTAAGAGAGGCAGGACGGTGACCTGGCACTTCGACGCCCAATAGGCAGAAACGGCACCTAGAGGGGCGGGACCTCGAGGAGAGGGCGGGGCATGATTAAAAAAGTTGGCGTGTGCACTGGCGCCTCCTGCCGGCCTCCCAGTGGAATTGGTTTGAGGGCGGGGCCTCGACAGAGGGGCGGGGCTGGTTCTAAATCCTTGCGGCACCCGTAGCTTCCAGGCTCTAAGGTGGTTTGACCCATCTCCATTCCCATCTTCTAGTAGCATAGAGAGTGCAAGATAGGGTGGCTACGGAACTGTGCCCCTCAATTTACGAGCATCTAAGTCTTTGAAAGGAAACGGGTGGCGAATTTTTTCCCTCAGAAGTCAGAGCTTTAAAAGAAATTGCGTAGTCGCACACTGATTCTAAACGCGGCAAAATGGGGCCAGGTCGGCTCTGGGGCTTTGGTTCTTCTGCCTTCCCTTGTAATTTGTTTTCTTTAAAAACAAAACAGAACCACAGGCTTGTAATCCCAGCGCTTTGGGGCTTACGGCAACCGGATCACAAAGTCAAATTATGCTGGGCGAACAAATTAGTGACACTCTGCCTCCGAATAGAAAAGAGTACTGGAGATAAACTCATTGAGAAGGCGCTGGGTTCAATCTCCAGTACCGAAAATATAAAAAATAACTCTGTCCTTAATACTCGGGGAGGAGTTTATTTGCTTTTTTATAGTAATGACCTCATCATATTCGAGGTGGGTTGAAAAAAGGGAAAACATAAGTACACTACCTGCACTATGCTAGGCCCTTTACTAGGGCCTTGAACATCAACGCTAGGAGGCACATGTTACTCTTGATTCAGATGATTCAGAGGAAACAAGCTCAGAAAGTCAGATTGTTGACAGTTGAGCCAAGACTTGACCATGAATCTTTATAGGAGTCTCATGAATGTCCTCCTCCTTGTTCTCCTGGACTGGGAGACTGTAGCCAGAAGATATGCTGCAATACAAAAAGGCAGTGTTTAAATAAACAAGTTACAGAAAAAGACATATTGCCACAAAACCCTGTCCACATGACCAGACCTCTCCCTGAACTACTCATTGGCAGAAATTGACCAACTACCACCAGGGAGGGGACAGATCTGGCATGCTGTCTGTTCTTGTAAATAAAGTTTTATGGGTGGAGAGTTTTACGCTTTTGTTTCCATACTGTCCAATTTTTTTCATGCAATAGAGACTGACTTTACCATTCAAAAGCCTAAAACATTTTATTACCTGGCCCTTTGTTAAAATTTGGGGTGAAGAACTTGGTCCAGGTAGAGCTCTTCTTGCTAGGACCCAAGAAAAGAAGTGTGAAAGCTCGAGTTTAATCCAGTGTCCAACTTTGTAGATGCGGAACCAAGGCCAGGAGCAGTCCATGGTGTTATCAAGTTCACAAAAATTAATTACATTGACTTTTTTGACATCTGGGGCTGTGGAAACCTACAAGGACTTCCCCACCCCCACCCTGGAGCTAGCCAACTCCTGGACAGAGAGTTAAGCTGGGCCTGTGCCATGAGACATGAGAAGCACCTGCCTCTCCCACTTTGTCCTCTGACGGCCAGAGGAGATGTGGTGTAGTCAACAGTTGTCATTCCCCTCCGCTTGGTCTCATGAGGACGGACTGCGACCCTGCCTCAGTGTTCTTCCACTACCCCTAAGATTACTTGGCAGCTGCTTTCCTGGCTGCCCAGATAGGACATACAGTGGTGCCCTGCCCCAGGGAAGGATCTGGGTCCATTATTAACATCCCCAACCCCAGTAAGACATGATGAACCCAGCCAGACCTGGAGATTCCCTGATTTTAGCCTCCCCATTTTCCCAGAGACATGACAGTTATTAATCAAATAATCTCAATCCTGAGAACTGCCACTATGACAGCTTCATGTCACCTATTCCCCCATAATGTACTTTATATTTTTATAAATATCCTAAACTTTCTACAAGGAACAGAAATCACTTAATAAAAACAATTAAGGAGTGTTATTTTTTGAAAGGGAATTAAAAATCAGCAAGAGTGAGGCATCTTGAAATAATTCAGTAGGAACAAGGCAATTTGACATTTTCTTTACTTAAGCTCTTTTGTCTCCATTGGGAACCATAATATTCACTGTGAGGGTTCTTTCTCTTCTTCTTGATCTAAATGTTTGCCAAACACTGTGCTCATACAAAATAGCAATTTCAGCCAGGTGTAGTGGCCTACACTTGTAATCCCAGCACTGGGGAGGCTGAGGCAGGAGAGTCATTCCAAAGTCAAAACCAGCCTGGAATACAAAGTAAACTCCAGGCTAGACTGAACTGCATAGCGAGACCTTGTATCAAAAAGATAAACAAAAACAAACAACAACCAAAAAAATAGCTTCACAAACAGGATCCCCTGCCAGCACGCGGAGCACGACATTAAAAAGTCATGTGCCGATGCCATTCTCTAGACTTCATGGAGCTATAAAACGGAAGATGGAAGACACTTGGGCCTTCTTGCTCTCCTTCCCAAAGAAAAGCCTTAAAAAGCAGGAGGGGAGGTCCCTGCCCATAGTTGCCACTATGGGAACTCAGATGTAAACAGGACTTCCAGGGAGGCAGCCAGAACCAGGAATTCGCCCCTGTCTGCAGACAGGGTAGCCCTTCCAAAATTGGGTCTGCTCTTTCCTGAATGAGCTCCATCTCTCCTACCTGCTCTCCTGACCCTGCATGAGCTAGTCTGGCACACTTGTAGGCACACATGCTACCCAGCTGAGGTCTCCATAACCATCCAACCCCAAGGCCCCAGGGTATGGGCCTTAGCCAAGTAAAGAGCCCCCAGGACTTGGTCCTGTGCTCCTCTCGGTGGAATGAGAGTTCCGAGCAGCCAGATTCTTGGGAGCCCTTGTTTTCTTTTCTCTCTATCTGTCCCCACACAGCCATGGGGCACACAGGGTAACGCAACACTGACACTGGACAATCACAGCAAATAGACACCAAGAACCCATGACCAACAACCATGGTTCTCCAGGCACATCCTACAAGAGCATCTTCTAGAATTTAGGATTCAGACTTACTTGTGGGCTGTAAAATCAGTGCAGTGGGATGCAGCCTGCCACTTGAAAAAATGATATAGAACAGAGTGGGGTGGGATGGGGTATCAAAGATTAGACTAGGACTGGGCAGTCTCAATGCTTGCATACCCTGCTTTGTATGCTGAAACCCAAACCCCAAGGTCATGGTATTAAGAGATGGGGTCTGTGGGAAGTGAATGGGCCATGGGACTGTGCCCTGGTGAAAGGGATCGGTGCCTTCCATAGATAGGAAGCCTGCAGGAGCCTGCTGGTGCAGTCAGCCTCTGGAACACAGCGAGAAGCAGCATCCAAGAAGCAGAGCACAGTCCTTATCAGACACCAAATCCCCAGCACCTTGGTCCTGGGCTGGGCTTCCAGCCTCTGGAACTGTGCCATTTGCTCCATGGCACTTTTGTGATGGCAGTGCCAATGGGCCAAGACTAAGACAGGACAGGACAGGATGGACAGGCTAGGGCAGGAAAGCCCAGGGCCCATCACCCAGGTCAGGGATATGCACACTGGATCACGGTTTGAGATGTGTTTCTTAGAGTGGCTTTTTATTAAAAATCCTGGGGAAGGCTGACATACCCTGGGAATAGATAAGGTGTCTCCACTAACCCATGTGATCTGAAGCTGTCCCAGGTGCTGAGACAGGCAGGTCTCAGGAATACAGGTAATCCTTTCCCAGGCTGGCTGCAGGCCAGCCTCAGGGGTGGGCCTCCCAGGCCCCCTATACTGCCGTGAGATTGACAATCAGACTGGGGCCCACTTTGAAGCCAGACGGGCATAAGAAAGTTGTCAGGATGAGTTGAGGGATGTGTGGCTGAAAGACCCACTGGTACCAGCCATGCCTAGTCTAGAAGACCCAGGTCCTGTCCCAAAGGTCAGATGGATAAAGACAGTCACCTCCCTGGGCACAGACCCATAATCTTTTTTCTTTAAACTGTTGCTTTACTGAGGTTTTGATGCCCCTTTATCTTGTGGATGTCAGTGGGGTCAGCTGGCTGCTGGGATATAAATTCTGGAGGGAACAGGCTCATAGCTTCCCCCCTGCCCAGCTGAGCCCCTAAACACAGGACATTCCAGACATCAGGGTCTCCCGCTGCCAGGCCAGAAGCACTGGGCACGAAGGGACCTTGCCCCCCGGAGATGGCACTGGCCCTCCCCAGCTCTCAGAGGCAGCCTAACTGGGGTGAGAGCACTGCCCCTCAGACCTCCCAGAGCTGGGGTGAGGTTGCCAGGGCCCGATGTGGCCGCGGGAGACAGGGCTATGGTGGGACTTCAGGGAAACAGATTTCATTGCTGCCCAAAGCTCACCTCTCAAGAAGCAAGACAGCTGGATGCCACAGCCAGGGAGGAATGAGACACCAAGACCTTACACCGAAGTCCAGAATGCCTTTTAATATAACAAGTTTTTAAATGTAAACATTCACCATATTTTATGATCATCCCCTCTTGATCAGACTTTTATGGCAATTTCTGTCACATAAAAATGGAGAGCTGCGGCAGGAAGTGGCGAGAACAGCGGCCTCAGTGTTCACAGTGAGGGAGGGAATGTCCTGAAGGGGTTCGTGGCAATGCACCGGCATTTTGACCAGCGGCATCTGTGTGGGGTGGGAGCCGGCACCTTCTCTCCAGGGCACCTGCTTCCCAGCCTGGGACAGGGTCTGCTGTGCCCACCAACTCGACCTCTGCGCCACACTGGTAGCCATGGAAGTTGGTAATGCCACACATCCGGGTTATTTATTTGTTTATTTGAAGACAAGGTTTTCTTATATAGTTCAGACTGGCCTTGAACTTGTGATTTTTCTGTCTCTGTCTTCCAAGTACTGGGATTATAGGTGTACACCACCACACCCGGCTACATCTAATATTTTTTAAAATTATTACTCAGTGTTTTTAAGTCATCTC